GGTTGAACTAGTTAGATTTGAGGACGAAGGCGTCTAGCCTTATGGTTCGAGCACGGTCGAACTCGTTGGATTTGATGGCGAAGGCGCGTAGCCTGAGTCCCAGTTCAACTATTGTTGAACTTAGTCGGTTCTAATGGCGAAGGCTCATGGCCTGAGTCCCAGTTCAACTGTTGTTGAACTTAGTCCATTTTGATGGCGAAGGCGCATAGCCTGAGTCCTAGTTCAATTGTTGAACTTAGTCCGTTTTGATGGCGAAGGCACGTAGCCTGAGTCTTGGTTTAACCATAGTTGAACTCACTGGCGAAGGCGCATAGCCTTGATTTAATGGCGAAGGCGCATAGCCTTGATTTAATGGCGAAGGCGCATAGCCTGAGTCCCAGTTCAACTGTTGTTGAACTTTGTCAATTTTGATGACGAAGGCACATAGCCTGAGTCATGGTTCAACCGTAGTTGAACTTACTGGCGAAGGCGCATACCCTGAGTCCCAGTTCAACTGTTGTTGAACTTGGTTGATTTTGATGGCGAAGGCGCGTAGCCTGAGTCCCAGTTCAACTGTTTTTTAACTTTGTCAATTTTGATGACGAAGGCACACAGCTTGAGTCACGGTTCAACCGTAGTTGAACTTACTGGCGAAGGCGCATAGCCTGAGTCCCAGTTCAACTGTTGTTGAACTCGGTTGATTTTGATGGCGAAGGCGCGTGGCCTGAGTTATAGTTCGACCATATTTGAACTTTGTCAATTTTGATGACGAAGGCACATAGCCTGAGTTCCAGTTCAACTGTTGTTGAACTTGGTCGATTTTGATGGCGAAGGCGCGTGGCCTGAGTCATAGTTCGACCATTTTTGAACTTTGTCAATTTTGATGACGAAGGCACATAGCCTGAGTCCCAGTTCAACTGTTGTCGAACTTGGTTGAGTTCAATGGCGAAGGCGCGTAGCCTGATTCCCAGTTCTACTGTTGTTGAACTTTGTCGATCTTGATGACGAAGGCACATAGCCTGAGTCCCATATTGTGGGTATTGAGTGCTGAAACTCGTTTTGGATTCGAGACTTTTAGCAGCTTATCCGTTGTCTTCCCAAGGGTATATAGGCTGTCTTGAGGCGACTCTCGGCTCGAGATATCTCCGTGCCGGTTTCTGACCGGAGCTCGTACGCCTTACAGAGACCTTCCCTTAGGAAAGGGGGGGGGCTTCTTCTTCTTGTTTGTACTATCTGAGATCGGCGAGAGAGAGAGAGGACTTAGATCTTGATTTGAGATCTTCGAGTTCCTCCTCAAGCTTGGCGTTTCTTTCCTTTTGGTCCAGGGAAGAACTACGCGATTTTGCTAGGAAGTCCCCACAGACGGCGCCAAATTGTTTGACTCAAAAGTTATTGCATACCTTATGAGTATAAAACAATATAAATAAATCACGGAAAAATCATAGCAAACCGTAATAATCCGTTGGACCAATGAAGGAAACGAAAATCAGTACTCAGGATTAGGGGGAGAAACATTAGAAGCCTTTATTGATAATATTGGTTTGGTCTGCCTCTCCATGAAGAGGTTCAGAGCCTTACAATGGTGTTCCTTTTGCCAATAATTTGGGTATCGTTGTCTCTTTTTTCTCTCTCAATCGTGGCCCAGAAAAAGCCCCCCTTTCTAGGGTTTCCTCTCTTGGTATTTATAGCTGTGAGCTTCGTGAGCTGGCAATAAGTGGCCGTGACCACGTTGGGATTTCGCCTTCATGGTGGCGGATAGGCCATGGCCTTGCTGATCGAACCAGATGCAGGTTGAATATCGTTAATTCTGAGTGGTCGTGCCACTAATTAATCATGAATTAGCTTAAGACGGGATTAGCCTCGTTAATTATCGTCGGGTCGGATTCGGACCCATACACATATAACTAACACAAGTATTAATTGCAAGAGTTTCTAAGTTTCACTTTTATCAGAATAAACAAAAAAAAAAAAAAAACCAAAAGCAGGATCCTTTTTGGGCTAGTGTGCATACAGAGGCGGACCAAGATTTTAACGCGACGGGAGCACCAATATTCTGTTCAACCAGTGCCCCTTAAAGGTTCTTAATGTTCAGGGTTCCAAGTGATTTAAATTAACCATTTTCAAAGTATATATGTATGCATATACAAGATTTTCGCCAAAATTTACAGGTCTAGTAACTATCAAGGTTACACATATAGGTTCGCATCTATATGCATATGCAATATGGGCTTACATGCGTGCGACTTACCAATTTTGTAGTTTCCTTAAGAAGAGAAAGAGTAGAACAATAACATCTCAATCCTAAGTAAGTTAGGATTAATTATATGAACCATCACTACCAAAAAAATAGAAATTAGCGACAGAAAAATTCTGTAGCAAAATAGAAAAATCCGTCACCAATCCTATTTAGTGATGGATTAACGACAGATTATCATGAGATTCTGTTGGCTGCGTGCAATTTAGCGACAGATCAGCAACGAAGTTCGAGTCATCTAGAAAAATTCATAGAATTAGAGGAACTCCTCATCTTGGATGAAATGATCAAGGAATACTTGGAAGCATTTCTCGAAGAGTAGCTAATTCTATTTTTTTTAAGGGCATATCACTCCATTTTAGCTCATATCATGAAAAAAGCTAAGAAAGTAAATAGCTAGAGAAAATGGTTCAATACCTGGCACTCCTTTGCGTTCCAACACAGTAGTAAATGAGGTAAAAAGATCAAGAATGACAAAAGTAGAATCCTTTGTCTCATTGTTCAACTTTGCCACAGCTTGTTGCAATAATGCATTGTGGAAATCCACAGCTGTGTTCTCAGTTGCATTGCATTGTTGAAATGAATTCAAAACTGTGCTTTGAGGAAGACATCCTAAGGGCTCCAATGCTGTAACTGCTATCTTCTTTGCTCCAAGTCCGTAGACTCGTCTCATGTTTACAACGAGTTGATTTACCACACTAGTTATAAAGGCAGGAAAATCCTACACACAAAAGGCATATGTATATATAAGAGCTTAATTTTTTATATTATCAGATTACTTAAAAGACAAGTAACAACAACAACAAGCCCAGTGAAATTCCATAAGTAGGGTCTGGGTAGGATAAAGTGTATGCAGACCTTATCCCCAGGGGCGGATTTAGGAGGGCGGAAGGGGGTTCGGGTGAACCTTTGCCGAAAAATTACACTGTTTATATAAGGAAAAATCTGTTTTTTACCTCTATATATTATGTTTTGAATTCCCTTGACAAATCCCAAAAGCATAGCTTGGTTCAATTCCCACTAGCTACAATCCTTTTTAACTTTTTTCTTTTTTGAACCTCATTAGCAGAAAATTTTGTCTCAGTCACTGCTTATCCCTACCTAATGAAGATAAAGAGATTGTTTCCAAAAGACCTTCGGCTCTACCTAAAAGATAAGTACGAGTAACTTTTCATAATAAGCGGAATTAGTTACCTAAAAGATAAAGCTGATAACTTGTTGTGACAGGGTAAATTATATTAATACCGTTAAAATTCTTACATTGTAAGTATACATAAGTTAAAAATTCTCGATGCGCACATAGATATGTGTGAATTCAATTCTCATTGTCTTCTATTAATTTTGCTCCGGTTTCCCATGTACATAGAGATAGGAAAAAATTGGCATATTAAAGGGTCATCAATCAATGTGAATAATCTTGAACCAGTTTAAAAGTAACATACTAAGGGATCGTTTGGTTGCGAAACAGGTTATCCCAAATTAATTATTCTGAAATTAGTTATTCCACCCTTCCATAAGGATAAAATGACACTACAATCATGGAATAACTCATCCCGGAATCAGTAATATCCTGATTTTATCCCAACCAAACGTGGGATAAACTCATCTTAAATTTAATCACGGGATTAATTATCACTTATCCTTCGTACCAAACAAGCCCTAAGGGTCTTGAAATCTAAGGTTGCCAGTTTAGTACGCTGACCACAAAGTAAACATTTTTCTAGATTTTCTTACTGTTAGACATTTTTCTAAATTTTCTTATTGTTGTTTTCTTGGTCTAGCATGAGAGGCGGAATCAAGATTTGAAGCTAAAGTTCTAGTTTTTCTAAGTTAGTGGATTCAAAATTAATAATTTTATACATATTAAATGAATTTCGTAAGACAAATATAAAATTTAAATTTAAATTAATAGGTTCGATCGAACCGTCACCGTACAAGGACTCCTTGTCTCTCACATAACTGGAGCCTAGAGTGTAATTTTTATCCAGTAAAAGGGTGACACGTGACCCAATTAAGAATAAAGCCGAGTGAAAAATATGTTTGTTAGTAATTTTATGGTTAGTAATGATCCACCAAAACCAGTAGATGAATTCAGCTAGTTTAGAGTGTAGTAGGTGTAGGTCCAGTATAATTTGTTCCAAATGAAATTGTACATAAAAATCCAAGAGAAGCAGGTTGGTCAAACGTATAAACGTTTCTTCTACTGGTGTCAGCATTCATTAATTTACAAGATGTCCTTCTATTGCTGATATCAACATTTTACTGAACATTTCAGTCCTAAGGACAATAATACTTGAGAGTCCGGAACCAAAATGTGGTTCTTTTGGACTCGAACTACATAAATAGGTGTAAAAAAAAAAAAAGGTACCATACTATATATAACGCCAGAAAACCTGGCGCTATACATTAACGGTAACTGCACCGCTAATGTATAGCGCCAGATTTTCTGGCGTTATACAAAAAAAATCTGACACGGCTGATATAATGCCATAAAAAGTGGCGCTATATGTTCTTCTAGAGCTACGTGCTCTTTCTTTTTCTTTTTGGTAATTATTAGACATATGAAATAACTATCAAATATGTTGTTGTCAATTTATTTGCACTTTGAATATATTGTACTACCACAAGATTAAAATTTGTGTTAGCAAGTAGCAGTTCATGATTATTATCATATATACCAATAATAAAACTAAAATTGCTGCCATTTATTAAAACTAACAAGAAATATTACGGACGTCATGGAAAAAAAGTGTTGTTGTCAACTCCTAAATAAAAGAAGCTAACACTCTGTTTGGATCACTGTTCCCCATCGTTTTATAATGTATCGTATTGTACTGTATTGTATTGTATCGTATCGTTTTATGAATACAATGTTTGGATAGATTGTATTGTTCGTTGTTGTTAAATAACATTTTGCTATTTGGTTTGACTGTATCGTACTGTACTTTAACTGATAAGTTTACTACAATACCCTCAATTATTTTAAATATTTAATTTATCAAAAATTACACATAAAAATTATTTAAGAAAACCACTTTCTACTAACTAATCACTAATTATGTCTTATATATAAATTAAGCAACTAAATTCATGCAGATTCTGTCCAAATTAGTTGAACAAGTTAATAATAGTAAATATAATAATAAGTACACTAT